CATCGGTGGTTTCCGCAATGCACGATGGGGACGGAAGGGAGTTGATCAGCGGGAAGTCTACATTGATCCGTTTGGAATCTGTGTCACTCAAGTCGGAGGCTCTATGCATTGACTCCTTTAGCTGGGACGAGTCTGGAACGTTAGTTGACATTTTATTTATTAGGGCTGTGAGGATTGAGTCGGTGTGTAATGCTGTCGTGGACGCGTGATGCAGGGGGTTAGGTCCAGATCCACGTTAGTGCTTGTCGTAGAGCAAGCGGTAGCTCTAGCAATCGGCGATGAATCATGTGGCTGTTGTCTTGCTTTGGTATTAGTACCTGGTAGGAAAGCTCTTTGCTGCAGCGTTAGATCAGGCTTGATAAGAATAGGCCCAATGTTTGCGTTTGTCCGTAAGGTAAATCTATTTGCTATTAAGCGTGTAGCCAATTCTTGAATTTTGAAGGCGAAAGAATAGAGCAATTGCGACTTGTCTTCGATTTTCTGAGTCGTTTACTCACGTACGTTCAGGAGGGATATTATACATGGACGTAAGTAAGCGGGAGACTTTCTCCAAAGGAAGTTTGTCAGAAACGTTGAAGATGATCACGTTTCATGCACGACGGGTGCGCTGGTTTATCTCATTAGTGATGGTAGTAAGAAGGGCGCCGGCATCTTGGAGCTCACCAGCTTCGCTGGCTGGCCGAACAACCTCCTCGTGGTGCCAGCTGGGTGGTTCGGGTTTACACCTTTCAGCAAATAGTTCGGCGGCAGTGTTCCAGGACGTGGTGGGTTTTTGCCTGGCAAGCGTTCGCCCTATAAAAAGCCACAAAAGTCCGTTTAACGACACTGTGACGTGGCGGTTGTGACTCGCCACTAACTAAAGTCACCCATTGCTTATCCGGACAATCGCTTCAAGTCCACAGATATCGAGCATCTATTTAGCACTGGCGACACCTTCAAACGCATTCAAGAAAAACGACAGGAAACATTTACCAAGCTCATAAACAAACCTAAACACGCCTACATGCAAAATTACATACGTTCATACATAAACATATGCAACAATCCCATTGTTCCACTGTACATTAACTGATCACATTTTGTACTCTTAACATGATCATGCCTGAGCAGGCGTGCCTCGCTTAGTCGAGAATACACAATTTATTTATTTATTTATTTCTGCAAGTTGGGCTAAGGGCATAAGTTTTGCTAGGTCTGTTTCGGTAAAGGCAGTTTCTTTTTAAGAGCAGCTATTTCAGCTGAGAGCATACTGATTTTGTTAAGTGCATCTTTCAGTGGGTCTATAAGAAGAACATTGCAAGGGCGCAGTTTATTCAGGTTTCTTTTGCAGCAGGACGTTTGGTTGCCTTAACCGCATTCGCGGTGCATGAGGCACCGCTGTGTTCGACAGAAACTGTGGTATTCGAATGACTACTTTACGTTTGCCCCGGGTCTTGGCACGGGCGGCTTTACCTCTCCCTCCATTTTTGTTAGTCGTTACGGAACAGCACATCCTCATAATTCATGTGCCAGGAACA